CSGRGGGAGAATTATCATTTTTCATGATTGGATGCGACTGACCAACATCAACTGTAGCTACTACCGTGCAAGCATACAGTGAGAAACGGCCGGTGTATGACAATCATCAAAGGAATTTAAGAGACTTCGTGAAGTAATAACTCGGACAAACTATCTGTCACTTTAATTACAATCAGTATCGACTTTGCCTGTTGAATTCGCGACGTGGCGTCACTGCAATTTGATCAATTTGATCAACGTTTTATCTAGCCACTGGATCAGTTCCGTTGATTCGGTGGGAGAGCAACAATGCCTCCTCAGTCTCAAAGCGCACTTTCTCCTGTCAGAAGAGCCGGGGGCACGCAAAGGCTGCCACCGTCGGGAGCGAGGGCGTCTTCTGGTCGGTATGGTAAACGCGACGTCCGTTCGCAGGGAGAGCTTCGGATGGCCTACAAGGCCCAATCTAGAAATATTGRTAGTCCCAGCCAAAACAAGAACATCAAAACAATTGACGGCGATGCCCTTCCATACAATAATGGCTTCTTCGATAGCAGCAACGATCACCTCAGCACCGACAGCGCTGGAAATTCGGTCGGTACTCCCAGCAGCGTGTATATGCCCTCGTCGGTTGCCTTGTCCAGAGACATGTCGGACCTAAGTGGAGTAAGTGGCGACCGGCATAGGAGCTCATCATCTCACACCATTCCGGGACAAATCTTCGATTCAAGGTTCCTGADCAAGCCATGGAAACAGGCATACACTTTGTCGAACAGTCCACCGGAATGTGTCAACGTTGGAACKAGGACAACATCATCCAATGCAACGGGCAAAAATAGGGGCAGAAGTGATGGAAATGACAAAAGTGAAGGAAACAAAAATGTAAAAGGAACGAGCATCTGGGTACCACAGAACGATGTAGTTGAAATATTTGACAGTCTTGAATCTTCGTTAGGACTCGATCGATTTCAATCCATGGGAGGGAAGCACAGTCGCATACCGATTATGGTGCTCTTGATGAATCCTCCCAATCAGAGTTATGAGTTGATGCAAATATGGGTGGATCGAGCAAACGATTCGATTCGCGATTTGGTCCACGTATTGCAGCACAAACTTCCTTCTCAGTGGAAACAAGCGTACGATGGTCTCTTTCAAGTTCGGGGTCACCGATTTACGCAACTGATAAACATCATTCGGTTGGTCAAATACGACATACAGTCACATGAGATACTAGTAGCCAAGCCTTGGGCCATGACGGCAAAAGTCACGTGAGTAGTGTAACAGTGCACAACAAAAGTGTGTGAYGCTAGCTACTTATTGACGAATGCAAAAACCCTGAATTTTTTGGTTCCTGATATTTTGTCGTTCATTCTTTTCCTTTCCCTTTTTCGTTAACAATCCATTTTAATGTGTTTGAAATGGATTTAAATGTTGCTCTTGCAGTATCGCCTTTGCTGGTAGTGCGATTAGGCACTTGACCCGGGTAGGAGTGATTGCGGTCGACAATAATGATTCTGGTAGTATCAGGAGCGGTCGTTACCTAAGAACGCAACACAAAAACGAAGATGYCCCACTGTTGTTGAGCAAACGTGCACGGGACCGAGCTTACTTTCCGGAGGGCATCCTTAACCATCATCACGCTTTGCAATTCGTTACATTTTCTCCATCTTTTGAACCAACCCATAACAATAATGAGGCAGCTACTACGAGAAGAAAAGCAGCYAGGAACGCTTCCGCACCWAATCTCTCCACGTCCCATGACATTAGTATCATTTCGGAMACTTTTGATGATCCTTCTTCGTYGTTGTTGGRTTCGGGTAGCTTTGGTCAACAAAGTGATTCTAGACTGATCAACTCTCTCATAGGTGGCATGTCTCKCCGACAAAAATCATCCGGATCGTTTTCAAAACGGGGCGGCATCCGCAACAATACAACAACATCAGCTAAAGTTGCATCATATAGAAATTTAAAGGCATCTGCAGCATTACGACAGACACAACAACAAGTAAATGTCCATGTCCCTGATGCTGATGATGGCAGTGACGAAAGTGGCAGCGATGACGACGATACGAATTGTGAAAAGAGATTGTGGAAATTGAACTGTTTCCGGAAACCTAGTAAGGTTACAAAGCGAAATAGCATCAGAACACTAACGCACGAAACATTCCCAATGTTAACGTCGGAGGAGGAGGAAAAGCGGTGGCTTGCTTACGGTATGAAACCTATTGYCGAGGCTCGATCCTTGGCCAGCGGTTCTATCATCTCGATGTCGGAACCTCTCTTGCTACCAGAGAAAAAGGACAACAGCATGAGAAGCAGGCAGCCGTTTCGTCCCACTTAGAATTCGATTAATGTTCCAACAAAGTTAAAAAAATTGTGCGTCGCAGTTTGGTATATATATCCTACTGCGGGGTGGTATGAGTAGTGAGATAAGTTTCTTTGCACTCTTCTTCGACSTAGTCAATCAATTTGTGAATACCATCACACTTACTTACCCATGGTTTGCAGAAACCCCTTTCGTCAAACACTTCATGGTGAATTACTAGAATTTTACAATACTARCTGTTGGTTACGAGTTCCTTGTCAGTGACCTCGACAACGTACAAAAGAGAATGAATTGTGATGCTGCGAAAAAAGATACTGGTACTATTACTTGTGACGACGAAGAGAACGCCCCAAACGATTGCGCAAAAAAGCTGGATGGCAGGATTGAACTACCGACCTTTTGATTACAAGTCAAATGCTCTACCACTGAGCTAAACCAGCTGGGTGCAAGCAAGAACACTTTTTCTACATACAAAACCTTTTTTTACACGAAGCTAAATGTAGTACTGGTCGGCGATTCTCGGTGTACGATTGGAATGATTGGAAGCTGGAAGCGAAGTGGTTCCGTCTTCCGTCCGTCGTGATGGTACGTACTCGTACCCAAGTATGGCACAATACGTTCGTACTGTACACACGATATTTGTTACCAGGTCTGACGCCAACGGCTTCGAAAATGCTATCAGCTGCCACAGGTATTTTGGAAGACGAATTTCGGTTYAGTTTGTAGTAAATCACAGCGCAATATTTTATGGCKTGTACCGAATGTTACCGAAGCTGTCAYCAAACTGCCCGCCTATGAGATAATCATGAARCGAAAGACGCCATCAGCAAATGAAGAGGATGAACACGATGGGAAAATGTTGGAAGAGGAAGACTTGTATGTCGAAGAACCARTAAAGCCCGAATATCTGGAATTGCCAGACGAGCTAAAGAACATCGATTTTCAAGCTGATGGCGCTGCCGCATGGGACAAGTATGCGCCCTACAACCCAACCCGTCAGCTTCCGATTACTCCCTTGGGAGAAAAACCTATTTTCAGCGAGGAGAGCCCTGCTCTTTGTTTCCACATCCATGGAATAGACGGACGGGCCCGYGCCGCCACGATWCACTTTCCAAATGGGGGACCTCCAGTTCCCACGCCCCGGTTCATGCCGGTCGGGACAAAGGGAACTCTCAAGGGCGTTCTTCCAGACGAGATAGCTGCGATGAACTGYCCAATCATTTTGGCKAATACATACCATTTGGAAATTCAGCCGGGAACAGAATTGATAGATAGTGTATTCAATGGCCTGCATAATTTTATGGGAGGGATGATGCCGTCGCCGGATCCATTAGGAAAACAAAGCGACGACATGCATACCATGGGCAAACCCAATCGAAGACTTTATAACTTGCTCACTGATTCTGGTGGCTTTCAGATGGTATCTCTGGCGTCTTTATCGGTAGTCACGGAAAAAGGTGTCGTCTTCAAGTCTCCGTACACTGGAAAACCAATGATGCTGCGACCCGAAGATTCGATTCGCTGCCAGAATAACATTGGTGCCGATATTATTATGCAATTAGACGATGTGATATCATCCGTGTCTACTGATGATGGCCGATTTAAAATCGCTACCCTTCGGACGTTACGATGGTGGGATCGATGCATGCAAGCTCATCGAGCTCCAGAGCGACAGAATCTTTTCCCCATTATGCAGGGACACCTCGATGTCTCCAAGGGTGGATTGCGCGAATTATGCTTGGCAGGTTTCAAGTATCGAGATCAATTGAGGAACATTTCAAGCGATGATGGTGAAACCAAATTACGAGAAGCAGAGCAAAAAGAGGAACAACAGCAAGATCATGGACAAGACGCTACAGTACACAGAAAGAGGATTCCCGGTTTTGCCATTGGCGGATTGGCCGGTGGCGAGTCGAAGGAGGACTTTTGGAGAGTCGTTGAACATGCGTGCAGGCATTTGCCCGATGATCGTCCTAGGTATCTCATGGGTGTGGGGTATCCCCTTGATCTAGTGATTTGTACAGCACTCGGAGTTGATATGTACGACTGCGTATATCCAACAAGAACAGCGCGTTTTGGCGTCGCATTGGTAGACAGAGGTCAGATGAAACTCAAGCGGCACGAATTCGCTCCGGGAAATTCGATTTATAATAGCAACATYCCGATCGAYGCAAATTGTCCCTGTCAAGCATGCTCTCGGGGGATATCTCGGGGACGATTGCATGCATTGCTCAAAGCCGGCAATCCCATTGCGGTTCAGTTGATAACACAACACAATGTGACGTAYATGATGGGTCTAGTGACYCGCATGAGGAAAGCCATATTGGARAAGAAATTCCCAATTTTTGTAAGAAAATTCATCATGAAGCACTTTTCGGGTGAAGGCCAAAAGGTGCCTGAATGGGTCAATGATGCTTTGACCGCAGCAGGTATATCATTGGAGGTTCACTAATTTTAACTTYAAGAGTCACCGATTGACAGCCTTGGAATATGAAAACATTAAACTGAATATTTAATCGTTTGAAGCACAACGGATGGGTTTAGTGTCATCCGATAACGACAAGTCATTGCTACATGTGAATTGCTTCTACAGCTAGATTGACCRCCTATTCCACTTCTACTTTGTTTGCCATATACGGTGGTTTTAGTTCCTTTCTCAGTTATTTATTTTGGGGTTGTCTGCGAATTTTCTCCCGCAATCGAAATTCTTGTCGAAAGTGGTCTCAAGGTTTGAWRCTCCATCGTTTTTCACTTTCTTGGTGTGTTCACGAGCAGGTGCAGACCTCCTTCAACTAACCAGTTGATAAATATAGCTTGCCTTTCCCATGGTCCATTTATTCACCTCAAATGGCCTATAGAAGTAGAGTTGTGATKGTAACATATGCGTGAGATTATAACAACTTGATGTAGGCATTGCATCACCGATCAAACACATGAAATTGTCAGTCACGGATGTAAGTATTCTCTTTACTACGCGTTGCGGATCAATATATGTTAAATTTAGCAACGCGTAGTACTTGGTACCTTACGTAACGTCCRTTACCGTCAAATCGAGTTTTTGTTGACAAAATTCCGATCACCGCACCACCCCTAAGTTCTAAACTGATGAATGTTGAAGATCAAATTTTTTTTCACAACTGAAGAAATACGTACAAATTTTCGATCGTTGTCGTCCTCACACCGTGCGGCAGGTTTACTTAGGGGTAGAAAGCTTCATTGAATTGTTTTGAAGYAGCGTGCAGGATACTAATTTCTTATGTGCAACATGATTTTTCCAAAAAAAATTCGAGCATGCCAAGCTCTGAATGCTTAAAAAAAGTCGATTAAAGAAWTTTTTTGGTATCCAATAAGTTACGCTGGATAACGCWGAAAAAAGAAAATACCATTCCGTGGTTGAATTCAATAATTTGGTGACGGGTGTCAATTARAAGAATTGGACTCGGACRGAAAAGATGCAGGAWGARTCCTTCCAMAAAAGTACGAGCCCGTAGTGTGACATAATATTGTTCTGTYTGTYTTGGAAATCCTGCATGTATGTCACACCAATAAGAATTTCGATTAGCCGCACCATATCGACTTCTACATTTCTTTCAATTGTTCGCTACAAMYATACTTTATTCGCAAACAAGGGCGAAGGTGCCATAAAGATAGCCGCCGTTTCTTGCTCACAAATATATTATTGCATTCATTTTMTACGATTCTAATGATCGAAAACTTAGGATGAAKATTCASTTTATCCCCTTCATCTGCTTATTGGCGTTACTTGTTGTCTCTGACGCCCAACCTGGACAACCAGATGAYAAAGACGACAAAATGGATACCCCTACAGACGGTGGCGGCTCTGAAAATTGTCCGKCGGCGGATCAGATTGTGGATGGCGATCCTTGCGGTGATTTTATTCCCGCTGGCTCCCAAGAAGCATCATGTTTCGTTGGTGATACTGGAGAACAATGCAACTGTCCTGGTCAAGAGACTCCCGATCCTGTCTGGGAATGCCGCAACGTCGCAGATGATCTGGACGAAGAGACCGACCCCGTCGCTTCTCCAGTCGCTACTCCGGTCGCTACTCCGGTCGCTGCTCCGGTCGCTGCTCCTACCGACAGCATGATGCCGACATCCGCGGATGTGCCGGACAACGAAGTTACTCCTGCCCCCACTACGTCCGACAATACCGACTCTGAAAATTGTCCACCAGCGAATCAGATTGTGAATGGCAATCCTTGCAGTGATTTTATTCCCGCTGGTTCTCAAGAAGCATCATGTTTCGTTGGGGATACTGGTGAACAATGCAACTGTCCCGGTCAAGAGACTCCCGATCCTGTCTGGGAGTGTCGTGACGTCAGTAACCCCGAGGAACCTGAGGAGCCGCCCCAAAAATGTGCCGGTAAACCTTGCGATCCAACCTTGGAAGATCAATGTAATTGCCGGGCGGGTCTAGAGTGCAGACAGCGACAACCTGGTTTGTACCAGTGTTCGCAGGTATCAAGAATTGGAAGGAATCGAATCTCGGCATCGGAACAATTCGGCGGCGCAGCAGGTAGAGATCGACGACAGCGCCTGGGACTCTTGTCATTTTAGGAGGAGAATAACCCACWATCGGTTCGCGAGATGGAAGTATTTGTTAAAAATAGTACTTCAATAAAATAAATATATGTTCATAGAATCCAATGCAGAATCATTATAAATTGAGGTTCATTGTTAGAAACTTAAAAAGTCACGGTAAAATTACGGTGGCCAATGATTGTTGAACGAAAAAATATACTACACTAACTACAACATGTATCGATATTATTGTAGAGAATAATATAGTTTTTTCATAAACACAAAATAATAGGACGGTGTCTATTTCATTGTCTTCCATGTCCACAATCCCAAACTTGCGCCAACTATTGCGCAGACGGTGTCGATAGCCAAAACTGGAATGCCTTGAAATTGTTCCGTTAAAGAAGCCCCAGGGAAATCAATACTTACTTTKATTAATGTAATCATAGCATCCGAAAAGCCYTTACCAAACAGGATAAGACTAACTGCCAGCAACGGGAACTTTAGTGGATATTTGCTCTCGCTCTCTAGCCTCTCCATCATGCTTGAATTAGAATCATTTTCCTCGATACTCTTGTTCATGGATTCTCGTTCCCGATCAATCCAGTCAGACGGCATTCCTTCTGAGGGGCATCGGATACGATTTTCGATAATATTGGCAGCTAGTTCTACTCGAATGGAATCGACTTCTTTACGTTTGTATCCGAGTTCTTCCACCATCGTTCGTTTCATTTCTCGTGTTATCATGAATATCTKGGCGGCAGCATTCGTCTCCCCCGAAGGTACGCTGTCTTGTTCGTCACCATTGCTTTTCGCTGACGAAGAAGATGAAGGTCTCAAGGCCTTCATCTGCACAACATCATCTTCTTTGCTATCYACATTAGAAGATTTTTCTTCGACGGCAAGAGTRTTGTCATCGACTGCCGTAAAAAGGAAAACCGGTGAGTTCTTCGCGGTCGTCGGAAACCGATCAAGATCGCGATAACCATTTCGAATCGGTGAAGTTGCTGAATGAAATGCACAAGAACCATGAGCTAGAGAAATCAGCGTCACTGCAAGTGCAGGAAGTATCATTCTACTTGCCCTAATTTGAATCATCACTTCGATTTATGCATTGACAGCTGAACACCTCTTACTTGATGTAGAATTGCTAATAAAACTACAGAAATGGTTTCTTGATGAACATGAAATTCTCATCGTTTTCCTTCCGTGGGAATTTTGGTGGTAGAAGTAGTACGTGTAGAACGGTTCGGATGAGTCATCTGAAAACGAGACACGGTTTTTTAAATCTGAAGTAAAGGTGCCGTAGGGCAATACAGTACAAAACTTAATTGAAAATGAATACCCCCGAAATACTACAGCAAGAACAATCAGTTGAAAGGTACGTAGTAATTATGACGTTTTTGTGGCGATCGCCGGCTTTGCTTGTTGGCCACACTTTTTGATTCGAACTGGAAAAAAATTAAGATACGAATTTCCTTTCATAGTACTGTGTGTTGCAGCAGAAAATCGGTAGATGCTTTCGATGGCAGAAAATTTTCTCGCCGATTTTTTCTMTTCGCGGTTGTCGAGACGAACAGAACAATCAGCATTGCTCAGAAATAGCCAKATAACCGAAGACCTGTGGTTTGTACAGCGAGCAAGATAATTAGAATCTTCCATTTATCGGTGTACCATTGTTTCGACGARGTGATTCAACCATGCCGAYGATGCGATCATGGTTATCTCTATATTTGATATTCAGGCTGGTCCCTTCAAACGCTGATCATCATGTCAGAAGAATAGGATCAAATGGAGATTCGGATAAGAACGATAGAATCCCTTTCGGTAAACCATCACTWAAGTCAACGGGGCGGTCCGAGATGAACAGAAATTTACAGACTGCTATCGAGACCCGTGATTGCAACGAAGAGTTTTCGTCGGTAACAAGCGAAGAAATTCAGAGAATATTTGATTTTCTCRTGCGATCGATTGATCCTATTAATTCAACGTYAACGAAWGACGCCGTGAATCTTTCAGTAAAATACGACGTCARAGTAAGCAAGGTGTGCCTGAAGTGCTCGCAAATAGGATTTCAAGATCTAGATACAGAAGCCTTGGTTAACACCTCGCCGTACGGATTTCAGTCGTACTGTTCCGAAGATAAGTATGGATGGCAAGCTACACAYAGTGCCTTACTTTTTTCGCCAATTGATGGAAATACGGATAGTGTTTTACCAGGGAAACTCCGTGGCTTTCTCGTCGGTCACGACACTACAATTGATGTTAATTCCGGTCCTACTGATCTCTGGCCCAAAGATATTTCCTCGATCTTGAATGAAAAAACACTAGATTATTCAGAAAAGGTGCTGCTATTTCAATCCTTTGTGTCCTCTTTGGTAGCTTCYACAGCTGGAGCAGTGGCTGTAATGCCGGATTACATTGGTTAYGGGGAGTCAAAAGATTATGATCGTGCCTAYCTTTCGCCGATGGTTTACGAGCAAGCCGCGGCCGTAAGTTATGCTGCAGCAAAGCGCTATATTTCTTTTGTTAGTGACGGATGCACAGAACTGACAGACGTAGCGAGCATTACGGGGTACGGGGAGGGTGGATATTTCGCTCTCCGCGGGGCAATGGCACTCGAGCAAAATGGGGTGACAATTCTATCATCACGACCTGGTGGAACTCCCCTTGATCTTGACTCACAGCTTGGTTTCTCGTTCGAATTGGAGGAAACCAAACCTTTGGCACCAGGATCATTGGATCTTTTTCTGGCGTTTTTTGGGTATGCTTATTCAAATAGTTTCCCGTTCGTATCGAATTCGAACGAGAATGAAGAAGCCTTGAATTCGTCTTGGATGAACGAAACGAATCCGGAAATGAATGTTTTGGGCTGGTTCAATTCTCCGGAGCAACTTGCCAAAGAACAAATTCTAGCGCTGTTACCTGCCGACACTGATCACATTTTCAATGAAGCACTTGTTAGTATTTACCACGAATCATCCTACGAGGGGTATCCAAAGAATGCTTGCAGGTCAGGAATAGTGAAGCCAGATTCTATCAGCAACCTTTGTGATGCCATATTGGATGCAAGCCTTTGGGATCTCCTGTCGACTGAGATTGAGTTCCATGTTTCTATCTGTCACAGTCCACAAGACGACATAATCGGSTTTGAAAATATCCCGAACCCAACAACGCTTCCACCCAATGTGAAATTCTATAGCAGCAAGCTGGACATAATGAATCCCCGAGGTAGCCACGATGGATCTATGTTTTTATGTGCATTGGATCCTATCACTGACATCACATCGCATTCCGACAGTGAAGTCGAATCCAACTCTCCTGTCTTTCGTCAAGYCATTGCAAATYCTCCCTCGCAWTGCAAAACCACAGCTACAGAAAATCCGACAACGAGTTCACCCMAACCCCAACAGTGTAGCAATTTGTACGAAGGCTGTGGAGGTTTCCAAGAGTGCTGCAACAACCTGGCATGTAAGATCCGACCAACCAAAAATGGMAACAAGCTAGCTAAGATCTGTTCGCCRCCGAACAGAAACAACAACAGGCAAAGTATTGCCGAGGAAGGCGTTGGTGGGTCGAGTCGAAGGAAGGAAAGGCCCGGGCATGCTTGATCCAAACATTATGTGTGGTAGGTTTTATACAGCCTCATGTTATAGAGAATACTAGAGGCAGAAGAGTCTGTGCTGTCGATGTTCATGATCAAGGTTCGGTGTTTTGTGTTCTTGTATGTACCCTTTCTTGACCAGCCGAACATGTTCAATGTTTTGCAGTCTTTGTTAGTTTATGTATTGTTCAAGACGAGATGTTGGTCCGGAAGCAAACTTCATTTTAAGAAAAATGTCATAGTGGATTGAACTAAATGAAAGTAATTTAAGCAATCCATTCATGCTAGTTTGATATACACGAGATGGACGTCGTGTGCGTTGGGTGTTCGCCGCTTCCAACGCTATYGACGTTTATATCGAAACATCGTCGTATTCTTCTTCTAACAGCGAGGCATGCTCCGTGTTGGCGGCCCGTTCCCCGGTGCTCATCATGCGATCCGTGTTGGTGTTGCTGGTCTGTCCCTTTTCGATTTCCTTGGTCTGGGCCAGGTTCGCGCTGACCAGGGCCGCATAGGCAGGGAGCGGATTGCCAACGAGAAGACTKGCACCGAGTGCGGGGACGATCCAGCGCATCATTTTCTTMGATTGCTTGGCTTCTCGTCGAACGGCGTATTGATACAACGGCTGCAAGAGATCGTCCAGCTCGGTCTTCCGATCCAAACCCTGGTTGGTCGCGTACCGCAAGACGCATTGCGAAACTTTCTGGCAAAGAACCGGTGGTACCTCGCTGTTGTGATCCCATTCCTCSGCCGCGAGAGCCAGGGTCGCCGTGAGTTGCGCATAAGAGACGTCGTACTCGGTCACGCTTTTTCCTCTTTCGGGCCGTACGTAAAAATACATGGAATAGTTTTCTTCCTCGATCGCCTTTAGGACGGCCGACTCCGGAAAAATATCTGGCTCTCGGATCATTGCGTAAAGAAGGGAATGTTCGATTCTCGTGACGAAGCCACTGGATGGATAGAGGAAGGTGCGGGCGTTGACTTCTTGCTGGCTATCGGCGATGGCAGCTGTTCCGACGCAATCCCGATCTCGCACMCGCTTTTTCTGCTCTGATTTGCTGCTGCGTTTCAAAAACATGGTAGTCTTCGTTCGCTCTCCCGTTTTGCCGTTTGTGTGTTCTCGTGTCCGAAAAGAAGTGGGAGAAACAGTCGCATTGCGATGGCAATAGATTAGTGGAAAATCGTCATTGTTGGAAAACGAGAAAAAGTATGATTTCGGAGTTGACGTGAAGAAAAAAACGAAAAACGGTTTCAGTTACGCTAATTCRCAGGCAGCAGCATACGAGGAGGGAGCGTACGAATACTACTAATACGAGTACTCGTACCGTACTCACTCGTGCCGCACACGCAGCGCACGGTCGCGGCGGTACAGTAGATGGTATCCTGCCGAAATCGAAGCTTTGCCGTATCGTTTTTGGCAGGGTAAGTCTTGGATGTGCATTCCTACCAGTAGTAATGTACCGTATGAATCATTATTTCGTTCTGGTACCGTACCGTACGATGATTTAAAATACTTTCTGTAATTGATACCAGTACAAATTGAAGAATTTGAGGTTTCCGATGCCGCTCTCAAATCCCCAGAAGAGTATCACATTTGCACACTATCTAATAACAGTAGTACTTGATGGAATGGTGGATGGCTCATGATTAAACTTGTTTACTACTTTAACTACTAATCGCATTTTGTAGATAGTCCCAAAAAAAACAATAGATCCCCACTGTTCAATAGCAATAGAATTCAAAAAAGATATGGGGCGGACCGTCGTTGGGTGCCGAATGCGATTTTCTCGCTACGGCTTCAAACCTGGCTGAAATATTCGCGAGGAAATGCTGGACCGGCTTCGTTGTGTTGTACTATTCAAGTTTTGGAAACGCACGCGTTCGCTGAATCCGTCGTGTCCTTCGGCAACATCGTCCTCCGAAAACAGGCAGCCGGCATGCACTCCATGGTTCTCTTTCTTTTTGATCACAACACAACACAACACAACACAACACAGCCACCCGCCCGAACCAAAATCGCTTTTACAACTGGCTCGCCCCCTTGTTGTGCTTGTGCGTCCGGGACAAGAGGTCGTAGCTGTCGGACGTCGCGGCGTGGTGCAGCAGCGTCTTTCGTTCCACGACGTATTCTCCCTTGATTATGCCCACCGTGTTGTCTCGCAAATCCTGGGGGATGGTCGAGTCCAGCAGCGCAGAAAAGAAATTCTTTCTCTTCACCGGGGTTTTCGGGCTCCCTTCTTCCTCGTCGTATTCGTCGTCCTCGTCGTACGAGTACCCGGAATTGTCGTCGCAGTCGTAGCTTTCYTCGTCTTCTCCTTCTAGGAGGGGTCGTTGTTCCAAATCCTCTTCCTCCAGGYCATCCARCGGGTGATTCCTCAGGTCATCGTCATCGATCGAATCGCTTCGTTTCGAACGTTGCTGTGGATTGTTGTRATCTCGCTGGTTACCGGCAGTAGTACTGTTCCTCGGATAGAGTTCGATTTCTCCCGATTCTTTCGAGGTGTTTGTTGTTCCACTCCACGCACTTTTGTTGTCGTATTCCTTCCATTTGCGACCGAGTCGCTTGTTCCAGTTTTTGTTTGGCATCTGATTGAGGGCTCTCGCTCGTGCTTTRACCGCCTCGGGGGAGTATTCGGTGTGCGGGAAGACAAAAATGTGGACAATGGCGAAGATAAACATTTCGATGCAAATCAAGTAGTCTTGCAAGGCCTTTGCTACGTCTTCGGGCGAGTACTCAATGATGCCGCTCGATCCAGAGCTCGAGGTCGACGACCAGAATGCATTCCCTCCAAACTCATCGAGCGCGGCRGCGTCTTCTGGGGAGAGGGGRACGCTCCAATCCGGTTCGGCCCGGAGCCCACCCAGGTCCAGGTCTTCCCCATCGACGCCGCTGCCGCCAAACAGTGTAGCCTCTGCAGAAGTATAGTGAGGTATCAATTGCATCTGATAGAGAATGCTGATAAAGAGCGACTGCCACCACGTGAAGAAGACAAGYAATTTTACCGACAGGAACTTGCCGACGGGTCGAATGGGTGTCAGTTCGTTCTTGGTGGCAAAATAGAAGAAGAAAAAGCAGTATAGCGCCCACGTTTGACTGACATTGGTCAGGATACAAATATAGAGGTAGCCCCCCTTGTAGCTGAAACT